CACACACACACACACACACACACACACACACACACACGTCGATCACGCACATCGTTGGCACCGGCGACAGCTCGCCTGCAGATATATGGGTCACAGACAGAACTATCACAGAACAGTGATGGGTGGGATAAAAGTGTGGCAGTGATAATGGTGGGGGTGGTGGTGGTGGGAGGGGGTGTGGGTACTTGTCTGAGAAGCACGGAATTGGGCGATAAAGGTATTATTCACAGCGGGGAGAATGGCAGCAGCGGCGGAGTCCGCGCACAATGAACGGCATTGATATTAGATTTGTGAGAACGAGCGCGTATTTTGCTCACAATGCTTCCGGGAGCGAAATCTCGTACATCTTGCGTACATCATCTGCGAACCTTAGAGGTCTACTGTGGAGCTGATAGTACACGGATGCGTTCGGATGAGTTATGTGTACAGGTGTAATCAACTGGACAATATAATACCAATTATATTGCTATTAAATTATTACCATTACGTAACGGGGGCTGATTTTAATGATCAACGTGGAATTCGTAGATGATTTAACGATCAATGGAATTTGAGTAATGCGTAGAATACTATTATTAAATGAAAGCTCTAGTCTTGGTTAACTAGTCCATGATGTTATGAATCATTGCTATGCGTCGATATTCTGTATAGCTACGTGACGATTCTGTCAATCAGACCTCATGGAAGAGCAACCCAACAAGATACGTGAATGCCAGTACCGTTCCTCCCACCTATCCGTCCCACCCTCTCCCCCCGACACACGCCCCCTATCTATAGAAGTCAATTGCACCGCCGTAATGAAATGAAAGTAAAAAAACGAATATTTAACCCAAAACTCGTGCTAAATACCCCTCCCCCTCCCCTAAATCCGAATTAACCGTACGAGTGTGCGCACGAATAACCCGAATTCGCGATGAAATTCACATCGCAATACATAAACGCGTTCATTGTAATCGCTATACCGAACACAAAACACACCGCGTCAATCAAACACACAAGCACACGTCATGACGGACAACAACGGGCGGGCCCCCGCGCGCGCGGGCACGGTAACAACGAACGCGTTTGTGCGTTCACCGCGGACACACACTCGACCATTGTTCCCGCCGCGGCGGTGACGACGACGATGACGACGACGACAGTGACGACGACGACAGTGACGATGACGACAGTGACGACGACGACAGTGACGATGACGACAGTGACGACGACGATGACGACAGTGACGGCACCCGCTGTTTCACCTCCAAGTCAGCAATTCGTCATTTCCTCGCGTGTTTACGATCGGAGATACGTCGCGGCAGACGCGTTTAACGGCGAAAATGGCGGCGCGCGAGTTAATCGACAATCAGCGGGACAAACACCCAAATACACCGACAACACGCTCTCGCATAACTGGGCCAACGAACGCTACCGGGGGTGGGGTGGGGGAGGGGTTCGTTTGCGGTTCTCATCAGCGGGTAATTAGGGGGCGAAGCAAGGGTCGGGCGGAGAGGAACAACGCCGTCATAGAGTGCGCGCGCGAGAGAGAGGGGGAGGGGGAGGGAGAGAAAGAGAGAGAGAGAGAGAGAGAGAGAGAGAGAGAGAGAGAGAGAGAGGCAGAACGAACGGCATGGGCAGGATAATGGTGAGAAAGAAAGAAAGAAAGAGATCTCTCGCTTTGTGCTCTCTCCCCAATCACGCATCACGCACGAGCGAAAATCGAGGACGTTACACTGATGACTGACAGACAGCCGACAGAAAGAGAGAGAGAGAGAGAGAGAGAGAGAGAGAGAGAGAGAGAGAGAGAGAGAGAGAG